GCACTAGCAGCAAGAGCAGCGGCAGCAGCAGCGGCAAGAGCAGCGGCAGCAGCAGCGGCAGCAGCAGCAGCAGCTGTGGAAAAAGGTTGTTTTTCTAGGATTTCAGAAGCAGCAGCAGCAGCAGCAGGCAGGCTCAGCAGCTGCAATCGCTTTGTTTTTACCAGAATCCAGAAGGGACGTCAAGCCCCGGGGCAGCATGTTTTTTGAGGTCGTTCCGTCCTTCAGTACAGTAGCATGGTGTTTCGGTGTGGCGAAGGGTGCGTTTTGGGGGCTTGCAGCACCACCTCTAGCAACACGACCGGCAGCAGCAGCAGGAGCAGCAGCAGCAGTCCCAGCAGCTGCAATCACACTTTGTTTTTACCAGAATCCAGAAGGGACGTCAAGCCCCGGGACAGCATTTTTTGGAGGTTGTTCCGTCCTTCAGGGCCATGGTGTTTTGCTGTTTCGCAACCGCCCGCTAGGACTTTGTTGTGGAGCTGCTTTGAGGGCATGGGAGCTGCACTTTGGAGCTGGTTTCTTGTTGGTTCAGAAGGCACCGTTAGGCACCACCAGCAGCAGCAGCAGCAGCAGCAGCAGCACCACCAGCAGCAGCAGCAGGCCCAGCAGCTGCAAGCAGCTTGTTTTGCTGCCGGGAGCTGCGGCAGCAGCCAGAGCAGCGGCCGTGGCCAGTGGCAGCGGCTCTTAAAAAGCGGGAAATGTGATACAGTAATTTCCGCACCAACAGCAAGCTTTTTGTAGGATTTCAGAAGGGACGTTCCGGCCCCGGGAAACGTACATTTTGGACTCGGTTCGTCCTTTAGGGCCATGGTGTTTTGCTGCCGGGAGCTGCAGCAGCAGCCAGAGCAGCAGCCGTGGTGTTTTGCTGCCAGGAGCTGCGGCAGCAGCCAGAGCAGCGGCCGTGGCCAGTGGCAGCGGCTCTTAAAAAGCGGGAAAATGATACAGTAAAATTTCCGCACCAACAGCAAGCTTTTTGTAGGATTTCAGAAGGGACGTTCCGGCCCCGGGAAACATATATTTTGGACTCGGTTCGTCCTTTAGGGCCATGGTGTTTTGCTGCCGGGAGCTGCGGCAGCAGCCAGAGCAGCGGCCGTGGCAGTAGCAGCGGCAAGCTTTTTGTAGGATTTCAGAAGGGACGTTCCAGCCCCGGGAAACGTATATTTTGGACTCGGTTCGTCCTTTAGGGCCATAGTTTTTTGCTGCCGGGAGCTGCGGCAGCAGCCAGAGCAGCGGCCGTGGCAGTAGCAGCGGCAAGCTTTTTGTAGGATTTCAGAAGGGACGTTCCGGCCCCGGGAAACGTATATTTTGGACTCGGTTCGTCCTTTAGGGCCATGGTGTTTTGCTGCCGGGAGCTGCAGCAGCAGCCAGAGCAGAGGCCGTGGCAGTAGCAGCGGCAGCATGTGAGTCCAGCAGCAGCAGTAGCAGTAAGGTAAAAAATAATAAAATTGTAAAAAAATGATACTTTCCGCACCAGCAGCAAGCTTTTTGTGAAGGGACGTTCCGACCGCAGGACCATGGTGTTTTGCTGCCGGGAGCTGCAGCAGCGACCAGGCAGTAGCAGCGGCAGCAGTGACTCCAAGAGCAGCAGTAGCAGTAAGAAACGCACATTTTGGACTCGGTTCGTCCTTTAGGGCCATTGTATTTTGCTGCCGGGAGCTGCGGCAGCAGCCAGAGCAGTCTTAAAAAGGGAAAAAATGATAATTTCAGCACCAACAGCTTATGGGTGTTTATGGATGTTTATGGTAGATACATCTAGTTACTATGGTTCTTAAAGCAAGCTATAACTGGGGGGGCACCACCTTGTAATCTCTAAGAATGGCAAGCGGTTCGTCCTTTAGGACCATGGTGTTTTGCTGCCGGGAGCTGCAGCAGCATCCAGAGCAGCAGCCGCGGCAGTAGCAGCGGCAGTAGTGACTCCAACAGCAGCAGTAGCAATAAGAAATACACATTTTGGACTCGGTCCGTCCTTTAGGGCCATGGTGTTTTGCTGCCGGGAGCTGCGGCAGCAGTTAGGGCAGCGGCCGTGGCAGTAGCAGCGGCAAGCTTTTTGTAGGATTTCAGAAGGGACGTTTCGGCCCCGGAAAACGTACATTTTGGACTTGGTTCGTCCTTTAGGGCCATGGTGTTTTGCTGCCGGGAGCTGCAGCAGCAGCCACAGCAGCGGTGGTGGCAGTAGCAGCGGCAGCAGTGAGTCCAGCAGCCGCAGTAGCAGTAAGGTAAAAAACTGATTCTAATAACTTTCCGCACCAGCAGCACGCTCTTTGTAGGATTTCAGAAGGGACGTTCCGATCGCAGGACGTATATTTTGGACTCGGTTCGTCCTTTAGGGCCATGGTGTTTTGCTGCTGGGAGCTGCAGCAGCAGCCAGAGCAGCAGCCGTGGCAGTAGCAGCGGCAGCAGTGACTCCAACAGCAGCAGTAGCAGTAAGAAACGCACATTTTGGACATAGGGCCTAGTTTTTTGCTGCCGGGAGCTGCGGCAGCAGCCAGAGCGGCGGCCGTGGCAGTAGCAGCGGCAAGCTTTCTGTAGGATTTCAGAAGGGACGTTTCGGCCCCGGGAAACGTACATTTTGGACTTGGTTCGTCCTTTAGGGCCATGGTGTTTTGCTGCCGGGAGCTGCAGCAGCAGCCAGAGCAGCGGCCGTGGCAGTAGCAGCGGCAGTGAGTCCAGCAGCAGCAGTAGCAGTAAGGTAAAAAACTGATTATAATAACTTTCCGCACCAGCAGGAAGCTTTTTGTAGGATTTCAGAAGGGACGTTCCGACCGCAGGACGTATATTTTGGACTCGGTTCCTCCTTTAGCGCCATGCGGGAGCAGCAGCAGCAGCAGCAGCAGCTGTGGAAAAATGTTGTTTTTCTAGGATTTCAGAAGCAGTAGCAGCAGCAGCAGCAGCAGGCAGGCTCAGCAGCTGCAATCGCTTTGTTTTTACCAGAATCCAGAAGGGACGTCAAGCCCCGGGGCAGCATGTTTTTTGAGGTCGTTCCGTCCTTCAGTAGCATGGTGTTTCGGTGTGGCGAGGGCTGCAATCGCTTTGTTTTTACCAGAATCCAGAAGGGACGTCAAGCCCCGGGGCAGCATGTTTTTGGAGGTCGTTCCGTCCTTCAGGGCCATGGTGTTTTGCTGATGACTCACTTCAAATCCCACACCTGATGACTCACTTCACTACACAAACTTGCATGTTGCACCCCCACATGCCGTTTTTCCACAATACCTAATGGAAACCATACAATCGTCATCCATTTTCCTTCTTCACATTTTGAAATTTCCTCTTGATCCACGGCTTGGCCCCCTCACTTGGGTCGAAGTCTGCAAGGGCAAAGTATAGCCAAAATAACCATGGGCAAGTCACATCTGCAGCATGTCGTTCTAACAACTCTAAACAAATAACTTTTGCGTGGCACACAAAAAAATGATGCACCACACCTTAGGTCTTTGTGATGATATGTGGTGACCTCTAAGCTGGAGCTTTCTTGTCCTAATAGCTTTTAGCAGTTTAGTCTTAGGTCTCTCAGCCCAAATGCACATACATGTGTTGTTCAGTTCAGAGCAAGCTTCATGTCAACTTTCTCGTCACTCTTGCCTGTTTCACCAGCCCTTGATCAAATTGGAACATTGCGGCACCTGCTCAAGGCCTATAAGTCATCTGCATCAGGTATATTTTGCCAGATATTGTTTCACTTTCTCGAACAGTTGCATGGTCCGCAAAACATGCGGAACCTTACGAATGTTTACTTCGGCAAGAGAACCTTTACTTATTCTTTTCCGGGGTCGGCGGCAGGGGCGGCAGCCCTTAATAATTTAATTCATAAATGTTCACCAGTCATCACCAGTCCTTGTTTTGGCTAGCGGCGCTGTTAGCGACCCCATAGGAAAACCCTATTTTTATGTTTACTACTGGATTTAGTTTGTGGAGGTTTCGGGTGGGGTGGGGGGTGCAATAATGTTCATTTGCACTAGCATGTTACAAATCTAGAACATGCTACGTCTCTTGCACAAGAGAGGATGCTACGCTACGTCACGTTAACTACATGCATCTTCCTTTGTCCTATGTTACTAGATGTCAAGTGTCATGCACAAGAGAGGATGCTACGTTACGACACGTTAACTACATGCATCTTCCTTTGTCCTATGTTGCTAGATGTCAAGTGTCATGTACAAGAGATGATGCTACGCTACGACACGTTAACTACATGCATCTTCCTTTACCTTATGTTACTAGATGTCAAGTGTCATGTACAAGAGATGATGCTACGCTACGACACGTTAACTGCATGCATCTTCCTTTGTCCTATGTTACTAGATGTCAAGTGTCATGTACAAGAGATGATGCTACGCTACGACACGTTAACTGCATGCATCTTCCTTTGTCCTATGTTACTAGATGTCAAGTGTCATGTACAAGAGCCCGTTAACTACATGCATCTTCTTTTATCTTACGTTACTAGATGTCAAGCGTCATGTACAAGAGCCCGTTAACTACATGCATCTTCTTTTATCTTACGTTACTAGATGTCAAGTGTCATGTACATGATGCTACGCTACCACACATTAACAAGAATACTTATCTTATGGTCGTTGATGCTATGGATCATGTATGGCTGCCTTTTGTTTTCGGTTCAACCACCGAGAGAACCTCATGAAAGACCTGGCCAAGATGGCTAGCAAGAGACGATGAAGATGAGAAAAAAGAGGCTTGGGTGGGAAAGCGCTCTGGAATCACATTTTTTCCAAAAATAAACGCTTTGAAATGCAGAATTCCTATGATCCCAAAAAAAGGACCTCGCCCTCTTGTAAATACCAAAGAATCCTGATGTTGCAAATGAAATGGAAATTGTGAAAATGCTGCGAAACGCAAGTTTTTTGAAAGATCGCTGATGGACCAATGTGCGAATCTCCCAGGGTCGCTATTGGCGCCCGTACCTTGTGGATTGGAAAATGTTGACCCACATCCACATGCTGACTCTAGCTCATCCTATATATTACAAGTTGGTCACGATGAAATATCTATGACCTGTGGAAAGCTGTGGTCCTCAAGCAGCCGAGCGGCACCCGTTTTGTTCCAGACATGACGCTTCGTCGAAACTTTCGTTCCGGGGACAAAGGACGCTGAATCTTTGAAGCCTCGGGAAGTTCTGTGGGATTCTTGGAAACCAAAGAGATCGGTACCCTCCTTGCCCTGGTCGCTTCCAAGTGGCCGCGTCCCCTTTGTGATCCTCCGCCAGCACCCGGAGGGAAGCAGGTAGCGATTGCCTGGAGCCGAAATCGCTTGGACAAATGACAAATGTACCCACAGAATCCACAAACCAGCTTGCATCCGCCTCAATTTCTCCGAGCAAGGAAAACGTTGCTGGATCACGGAGGATGTCAAGCGCCTCAGCCAAAGCTCTGCCTCTGTTCCATGTGCATTTGGGAAGACATCATCAAACCAAGCTCTCGGGTGAGGAAAACGTGTTCATCCAAACGGGCGTGAAAGACTTGTGAAAGACTTGTGATAGACTTGTGGTAGACTTGTGAAGGTGTGCATTTTGTTCATCTTCAAATTGGATTTTTTGGGTCTCCAGCCAGCGTAAGTTCTGAAGTCGCGCGCAATGGAGCGATCCGCGGTCAGCAGTCCTGGAGTGGCCGTGGGGCACCTCGGCAAACGACACCGCACTTCACAAAGAGAACCGTGTTTCTGGGTTGTCATCTTGGCAGAAGAGCCATCCCCCCAACCAATATCCAACACAACAGCCTTATAAAACTCTCAAGGGATTATCAAGTTCTGAAACCTTGTGGAGTTCTTCATTAATTACCATCAGCCCCCGCAGCCCTTGCCAAAGATTCTCCAACGACCAACCCTGGACCTGCAGCAAGGAGCTAAGATGTCCAGGCGTCGTGCACAACCGCAGCGCTCCCCAGGATGGTGCAATTTCCGAGGACATGGATGCGGCAAAGGCCGAGGCGGCCGAGAGGTCAAGCACATCGCACCCTGCAGCTGGGCTGTTGGTTGGGGCTGTTGGAATGCCAGGCATCATCAGGAATTCGAACCAAAAAGCAAACTCCGTGTCAAACACATGTTCGAGGCTCGGGCCCGGATGTCAGTGATGTCAGCGACCATCTTCAGTTCTTGAGCCACAAATGTCACGGATGGCCAACTGAAACCCAAACCTTACCTGAAAAAAACACTAGGTTTCAACTTTGGTGACACCAAAGACTTTGTCTTCATGATTCATGGTCTCTAGGAAGCGTGGATAGGGCTCTGGGCTAGCTGCTAGCTAGTTCTGACAATAGAGTTTGTGCTGCCAATGGACCAAAATTCGCGAAAGTGCGCGTCACATGCGTTGCTCTGAGCACAATTGAGCCTTAGCGTCACAGTTTTCATCTGCAGCGGTACCTTCCTAGTCCTTCAAACCGATTGCAAATCCAGCTGGATGCACCTGGGTTTGTCCAAAGATAGTTTGGAAACCCACTTCCACCATTTCCCCAAGTAGTGATGGCATAAGTAACATCATATTAACATATAATATATATATATACACGTAAACTTGGTACGAGTATATCCCCTAGGTATCCCCCGTTGACCCTGGCTGGCCATCCGAGGCACCAATTGCTGGATGGTCCGATCCCAGGTCGATGGCCAGATGCCCTGGAGCCGCTGCAGCGACTGCAGTGCGGGCCACCATTGCATGGCACGCTCACAGGCATTCACCGCAGCACCGTAGCTCACCTCATGGTGACGATGGTGATGGATAGGAAAACCATTGGGAAAACCCGAGAAATGGATAGGGAAAACCATCAAAAGCCCCTTCAAAATTGCTCAAAACTATCTGAAACTTCAATCATGTAAATCTATATCTCTATCTATCTAATTGTTGTTTGATGTAACCTGTGCCAGATGCCTCTGGGGCACCACATTGCCCTGGAGCCCATAATCCGCCAAGTTCTGCAACAACTGCACGGCACCGCGCCATTGGCGGCCCAAACGGCATGCCTCCTGCGAGTTGAAGCCGGAAACAATGGCTGGAAAGGTGGGTATGGGTAAATCAACTTAATATCAAATGATATAATGATATATGGTTTGTATGTGTTCAAGTCTCATGTACCTCCACCAGCAGCACGCAGGTTTTCTTTTCCTCCACCTGCTTGCATGGTAACACGTCGCTGTAAGCGATTCCACCACGATGGGGACGGCCGTGGGTGGGCGCGGTCGGGAGCTTCTTGAGGTCGGAAATGTCACCAGTCACACTTGCTGTTCAAGTGTTCAAGTCTCATGTACCTCCACCAGCAGCACGCAGGTTTCTTCTTCCACCTGCTTGCATGGTAACACGTCGCTGTAAGCGATTCCACCACGACCCCATCTTACCCAACCTTTCTGACGACTTCGGCCGTCCACATCTTTGACCAGGTTTTTGACGGCAGTCCAAGGCTACAGCACTGCTGAGAAAAGCGAAGCACCGCTGGAAAGCACTCCGCCAAAGCAAGGATTCTATTGCGCTGGCCAGGGCTAAGGAACATCATATACTGCTGTGCACCTATTTCTTGGACATAAATGTCCATGACACGGGTATTCACCCAACGGCCTCTACGTCGGACCAGCTCACCATTTTCTGTGGCTTGCAACAGCCACGTCGCACCACCTGCACGCAGTGAGCCAGGGTCGCATGTCTTAGTCATTCCTGGCAGTGTAGTGCTAACATCCAACCGCTGAAGAACTTGCCGAAAACGAGTCCTAAAGGTTTGTGCAGACATACTCCAAAGACTTTCATCTCGCCTAAGGTGAGCAAACGCTAGCTCAGCCACCTCCAGCAAGTCAGGTATATCTAACTTGGCACTTTGGTGCCGTGCCACGGTAAACCTGGTCTTTGGTTCAGGTATGGCCAGCAAGGCAAAATGCTGAGTGTAACCAACATCGCATGGAAGCATAAGCCGCCAGCAAACTGAGTCCACCCCCAGCAAAGCGAAACTGTCAACATCGCCAACAGCAGTTGCCAAGGGAGAGCAACATGATGAGTAGGCTTCTCATCACGGACCCAGGAAAAAGCCAAGTCCCAAGCACCTTGCAAAGACCTCCGCAAGGAAGGACGATAGGCTGCAACAGCATTTATGGTCTCGCAGTAGTGGTTCTAGGGCCGCCCACCAAAATAGAGACATCGTCCATACCTGTTTAGCAAGTCATTGATCCTCTGCAGATGCTCTCCAGGTTCCAAAAGAGATCGTCGACCCTGATCCCTAACGTAGAAAGCCACTGAAAGAACTGCTGCAGAAGTCTACCCCGATTATCAGATGTAATCTGCAAAACAGGTTTCCCTTGCGGCAAAGGTGGTCGTGACCTCCTCAACGCTGCACGGCCCACATCTGCAGAGTTACGAAGTAAAACTCCCAGGTTATCCATGGCTAAAACAGGGGCGACACTAAAAAAGGCGAGCACACCAGGCCAGAGACTCCCACTGACAGAGCTGACGCAAGAGGTGGAAATGAGAAAGAAGAGCCGAGGCAGGCAAGACCAAGAGGGCCCTTCGCCAGGAAACCCAAGGGTGGAGTCAAAGTCCAACGGAAAATCACATTGCGAGAGACATGGGAAGCTGGCAAGTCCAAAGGCGCAGCAGGGGATAAGTCCAAAGAGGTGGAAGAGGAGGCAAGTCCAAGCCCGGGTGCACGAGAGGCATCACGAGAGTGAAAACGGAACAAGGACCTGTCGGACAAATCCAAAACTGCAGGGCCAGAGAATAAAAGCACAAGACGCACCCAGTTCGACGCCCACCTCCTCAACTTTGGCAACTGAGACAACTTGTAGAGTTCAGCCAGGCTCCAGGAATCCAAATCCAGCCCTTCACAACGCTCTCTTAGAGACTCACCTCGGGTGGGATCATCAGAGGAGTTGAGGCGAGTGGGCACAAACGGAAGGGAAAAGTAAAGTCCAGCACCTACACATAAGGCCCCAAGCTTCCTTAGGACAGCCGACAACTTCCGGGATGAAGAACGGCCTTTGGAAGCTGCACATCTGGTCACTATGGAGTCAACAAGGCAAACAGGTCGAAGCGACCTACGCAAGGAAGCCAGACAAACTGCAAGCCTGTAGGCCGACCGAAGCTCATGCAAAGTTTATATGGTCAATTTTTCGGTGCCTCCAAACCTTTCCCACTTTCCACTTCGAAGTCAAAGCCACTTCATTCACAAGCTGACACTCAAGTCCATCAACCTCAAGCTTGTCAAGCTCCGCAAACCTCCTCTTGAGTCGTTCCACCCCCATTGACAAATTTTTTGCCAGGGCTGCTGCAAGGAGAGGGGTGTAAACTGCGGAGCCAAGCGCGTGCTTACCCTGCACAGGCACATGAGTATGATCGCCACTGCAACGGCCAGACAAAGGCTCCAGGTCTGCATGAACCCCCAAAAACCTAAAGCTCTTGAGGTGTATTGAACCATATGCACAAGAGTCTGTTCTGCAAGAGGCCGCGTCACAGTGCTTCTCTATGTTGCCCCAACTAGGCAAGTGTTTCAGCTTCGAGGAGTAGGGTGTCTCAAGTATGCCAGTGACCTCTTCCTGTAGACCAGTCCAAAGCAGCTGAAAACCACGTTGAGCTAAAACATTTCCATCCATGGTCTGTTCGTCCGACAAATCAAAACCAAAGGGAAACTGCTGATCACGCAACGCTGGTCTCCTCATGATAGAAAAAGCTGTACAAGGAGGTTCCACCATGAAACTCTTAGCTCTCTTCTCGGACACCATAAAGAGTAGCCATGAAGCAACATGCACCCATGCAACATTCAGCTCAACGGAACGTGAAAGGCCAATAGGACTGCAGCAGACATACCCCATCTCCGACATCGCACTAGTCACTCTGGCTGAACCTGCAAAAACTTCTACAAAGTCAAATCGCAGAGCCAACGGCCGCTGGGGGTGCTGAACCAAGGTCTCCTCAGCCAACCCAAGTGGCTCTCTGATGCCCAGCCTCTCAAGCAAACATTCAGCCGGAGTCTGAAGGCGGGTATAGGCACCTTTTGTACTAGAACTCCTCCACAGCATCTGAGAAACTTCAGGGGAAGTTGTAGCTCCACAGAAAGCACCAAGCGACATAGACGCATCACTGCAAAAAACCTCATCCATGTACTCTGCATGAAGTTCTGAACACGCTAAAGGCGCAAGAACTGCTAAAAGGGTCAGCTCCTCCGCAACCTTCCTAGGAAGAGGTACAGTGACAGGGCGTTGAGGGTTAATCTTGGAGGGATCAACCAACTTGAAGCTTTCTTGCAAAACACCCATCAGAGAGCGTTTGTAAACAAGCACTGACGTCCAACCTCCAAGTAGGCACAGGTGGAGGCTATCCGAAGTATGGCTGAGCTGAGCTACATGCAAAGACACTGCAGAAAGGCCAAAACGCTTCTCAGGCGGTGAGCCAGCTGTACACACATTGAGCTGGGCAGCCCGCTTGGAGGAATTCAGGTACGCACCAACAACCTTTCCTTCGTCAGCCCCCAGCACATCTTTATGCGGAGAACCTTCAAGCTGGAATTCATCATAGATCCCCTGTGCCACACGTAAAGCACTCAAAGACCTAGACTGCTCAAGGGGCGCATCTCTTGACTCAATGCTGACAGCAAAAAAATCATCAATGCATAGTCCTTGAACCTCTTGTAACGAAGGCAACGGTCTGTCTGAAACCATGCGCACTGAATCAAGAGATTGGCATGGGACTGAGTAGCAAGCTCAACCCCCAGATGGTCCCCTTGCAGGATGGACTTGAAGGAAACCATGGCCCTATCCGCAAGAACGCCAAAAGCCTGCTTGCCAGAAAATCTAAAGCCATCTCCACGGTGAATCCTAGGGCCCCTCCTACGAAACTTCTCTCCCAACGCAAGCAACTTTGTAGCATGCAAATAACCAAGCATTCTCATCCACGCATTCAGAAGCACCAGGAACATCAAAGTAAAAGTGCCCCACGAGGAAAAATGCAACGCTCGGGCATAGCAGTCTGCCCGCTGTGCTCATGCTGCTGCTCTGTGCTAAGGCCCTCATCTAGGACCCCTCTTGGGCCGGCTTGACCTTCTTCGGATACCTGGTCTTCCTCTTCGGCGATGGCGTTTCCGAAGTGGAAGAGGGGCCGGCTGCCCCGGGTGATGCAGCTTTTCCCTTGGGAGCAATCTCTGACTTCTTCGTTGACAAAGTCTCCATGTCCTTCAAATATCCCAAAGTGGTCGCAGCCCAGCTGGCTGGACATAGGGGAGCAAAAGGTCTCCCGTGGGGCGAGAGAGCCACCGTCCTGTCTTGAAACATCTGAATGGGTGGCTTGGAGACTAAAGCAAGCAGAAAAGCCAAACTCCAGTCGCCTTGGTCCACAACAGACTGCTCTGTTGCCACAACTGTCAAAGCCACTAGTTCTCGCACTCCCATCCAGTCCTCCGCATTGATAGCATCGACCACATGGCCAAGCATCCACATCACCAGGCCTGTTTCCCGTTGAGTCCGATATCCCCCCTGCCTCTCCAAATAGGCAAGCATGGAGAGAGACTGCAGTTCGCTGAGAAATTGAGGGACTGGCTTCCCTGGGTGAAGACGCCTGTGCATCTGCTGCATCAACTGGAGATAAAACCCTCCGGAGCGAGCTGCCAGTTCGGCCTGCATCTTTTCCCTCCTCAACACGCCTCTGGTCCCTGCAGTCTGCGAGGAAGAGCCCGTCATGTTCAGCTCGCCAATGCTGTCGGGGGACTGCGCTGCAAGGGGAGCGACCAAAGATGTCCAGGCCGTGCTTTGCTACATCAACGCCACCTCCAAGCTGGACCCACCAGGCCCTACAACGCCTCCTCTCACCTTTGAGGTCCCTTCCAGAGGAACAATAGGGGCATCTGCAGGAGGCCGCACTTCTCTGTGTCGAGGGGGAGGCCCTGTCAGGGACACCGCCTTCTGCACAGCGGTCAACCCTCTTGTGACGCCCTCGCCGGCGACTAAACTGGCCGAAACTGGCGGCAGAGCACATGCGGAAGCAGCCAGCGGCGCGGAGACATCTCTTGCAAAAGACTCCTTGGATTGCTCTTCTAGCTGATCTTGTCTCGCCACCAAAAGTTGCATCTGGCTGGCAAAAGCATCCACTTTCTCCATCACCGCAGCTTGTGTGACACGTTTTTGTGGCGCAGCCTTTTTTGTGTTCGCAGCCTGAACAGTAGCTGCTTTCGGCGGCGTTCCCAGGTCTTCTTGATCTGAGTAGAAAAGGCTACCCCCATCTGCTAAGGTCCTCATCCACTCTCTCACACGGGACAAAAAAAATCACCATGCGGAAAGGTGTGCACCAACGTAGGATGGAAAGGCTTAATGGGCTCAGTTGAATCCGTCACAGGATCATATTCTCTGACAAACTGCAACATGCCATCCGCAATGTCAAAAACCTGCACAGAACCTTCGAGACCCAAAGCAGTGAGACCCTCATCTGTGTCCTCATACAAAGCCGCAGTGAAGACGTCACCAGGCCCAATCATCGACTCATGAGTTGTTGCCTCCTCATCCACTGCAAGCAGAGAAGGCGCCAGAGAAGCATCAGGAGTAGCTATCAAAAGTCCACCTCTTCGGGCAAACAAGGGCACGCCAAACACTTCAACTGCCTCTCCTGTAGCAGACAACTCTTGCGTCAGAGTCAACACGAGGAAGCTGGGATCACCCTCGTGGCTGAACTTGATGCGCTGTTTTTCCCTTTGTACGAAGCTGGCACTTCAAAGCCCGCTCCACAACAGAATGCTTGCACCTCAGCTAAAGAGGGGAAACCGCAGGAAAGAGCTTGAGAGCCCTGACCCACCAATAGATCTCGCTCCTCCTTCTTTAACACACGCACTGGGTAAGGAAGGCCAATAGCTCGGACCACCAAAAACTGAGTATCACGCAACTTCAAGGGCTCTGGCCCTGAGAGCTTCACACCACAGTCCACACAGATCTTTGCCCAAAATCCAGCCGTAAAAGCACGTCGGATCCTCTCTTCACCGTCACCCTTCACAGAAGTAAGCTTACGGGCAAGCTCAAGCAACTGAGGAGGAGTAGGGGGTGGCCCCTCTTCCGGCCAACGATGCAAGACTTGACCAAAACCAGGCCCTTGATAGTCCGCCTCCACAAGCTCCCAATCTTCCAAACAATCAACAACGTTCAAAGTGTTCAAACCTGACTCCCTTACAGAAAGAGACAATCGATCAAGACAAGCACACAGCTGTAGGATGTCAGCACGGGTGACCGGCTCACTCATACAAGTAAGCACCAATCCTCCTCCGAGCACCAGACACAGGAGACGACCGGGGAGCAGGTGAAGGAGTGGCAGAAGATGGAGGCCAAATCCAGGGCCGGGCAAGAGTCCAATGGAAGAAAGCAACGGCAAGAAGTCCAATGCCAGAGAGAAATCCAAAGGAGGCCCCGGCAAGGAACCAAGGGAGGCAGCTCTGGGAACAGTGGAGAGGACAAGCGAGCCAATGGGAGAAATGGCCAAGCGTGCTCAAGCCTTCCAACAACCTATGAGTCCACATGCAGCTTCTTGAGGTCGGAAATGTCACCAATCACACTTGCTGTTCATCTGTGTGCGTGTGTGTGTGCATGTGATTGCGTGTGTGTGTGTGTGTACGTCCATGTATGTCCATGATATCAGATGTGATAGTCTGAAGTTTTCTACACCGTGTAGGCACTTTCGGTTGGAGCGTTTTTCATCCCTCATCTTGGATAACTTCCGTTCCCACCATGGCGCTCCAGGGCTGCGTTGAAACTCACCAAGTTCTGCGACTCCATGCTGTGGAGAAGTCCCAGGGCCAGTTGCCACTGCGTTGCTTTGGAGAGGACCTAGGAATCAGATGGGATCAGCAATGCCGGGAACAAGGTCTGCTTACGCTATTTTTGTGGAAAAAGCATCATGGCATGATTGACAGAATGTTCATATAGCTTCGAGTTGCCCAAAGTTCCTGAACATGCCTCATGACCTCAAGGATTGATTATCAGAATGACACAGAATGTGCAGAAAGGCAGCATTTAAGAGGGCGTTGTAGCAGAAAGTGTCAACTGCTGCGTGCTGGTCACATGCTCCTTACAAGCAAATGCATTTACAAGACTCTTGTGCCATATTCGGAAAATAAAATCCACCAACCTCTCAACCTTTTCAACCATTTTATGATCTCAAAACAGATTCCGCCAACCCTTGGCATTCTTGGAGGCCCCCTACAAAGGCATCTAGACGATCAGCAATGAAGATCAATCATCAACATTCACTCATCCAACTCAACATCATATAATCATTTAGAGTCAGAGAGAGAGAGAGAGTGAATACACCATATGCATATGATATAATTATACATAATAATTATATGATATGTATGTGTTTAAATTATTTTAAATCAGTCAAAATAGATTCATCCTTCCCAGCAGTCGGTTTGTTTGCTCCTTGGAGCACCGCCAGGGCCTCCTCCCACACCACCTCCACGGCACATGCATCCAGCAGCGGCGCCAGCAGCCGCGGTGCCATGCGGCGCAGCGACAGCGCTAGGGCCACGGGCCAGGCGTTTTCGGCAGCTTGGCAGCTACTCAGGGCCTCAGGAATTCGGGTCCCATTCATGGTAAATGAAAAACTTGAGAGCAGGCGGAGGCGGACGAAAGGTAGTGTAGTGGGAGAGGAGTGGTGTCAAAATGCTGCGCCCCTAAGATGATACACCAAAAACGTTTTTGCGCAGTCTAAGATGATTTTATCCAGAGCATGACTGCATGATACGGTGTCTTGTGCAGCGTGAAATGATGCACGAAAAGGGGTTTATTTAAAACCCCTTTTAGACCCCTTGCAGCAACTGTTATTGAGGCTGAAGCATGCCAATTATGCTGGACTACAGGGACATCTCCCTCATGGAAAGTGTGCCTCTAATGTGGGGGCCCGTGACCGCGTCCCCCGTGGGAATTGAACCCATGACCATTTTCGGGGGGGGGGGGCCCCAAGAGATGGACTGTTAGGAACTATGCGACAAAAGGCCTTTAACAGAAATGATCTGGAGAGAGAGAAGAAACATTCATCCTCAGGTTATAGCTCATCTTCAATCATAACTTGCTGCTACGCTTTGGCTCTTCACTTGTACTTAAGCACACACTTGCTTCTCTGGATAAAGCTTTTGCTTCCGAGATCGCAGTAAGGCAAGATCACATCTTGACGCAAGGTTTTCCTCAACGCTACAAAACATCATTTAAATCGAAAACCCTGTTTCAACTTCAACTTGAACACAAACTGCCGCTGGCTTCTACGGCATAAACTTTTCCCCCCACATTTCCCCAAACGCTTCTCTGCGCACTATAGACTTCCATTTGCATTTGCACAAGCACTGAGTTTGCTAATGTGAATTTACTTCGAAGCCTTAAATCAAAGTTCGAACCTATCTGATTTGAAGTTCGACCATGTTTAACGTCAATTAGCGTTTCAGGCAATCAAGGTTTCAATGTACCAAAGCAGAAACAAAGGAGATGATGTCGGAGATGTTGATGATGATGTGGGTGATGTAGGTGGTGTCATTTGTGGATGCGGATCATGATGATGATCATAATCTTGACTCATGATGACGATGATGGCAAATTGTGATGTTGTTGTTGTTCTGGTTGATGATGATGATGATGATGATGATGATGATGATGATGATGATGATGCAGATGAAGATGAAGATAATGATGATGATAATGATGATGATGATGGTGATGATGATCATGGTGATCATGATGATCATGATGATGGCAGTGATGATGATGATGATGATGATCATGATGATGATGCAGATGAAGATGAAGATAATGATGATGATAATGATGGTGATGGTGATGGTGATGATGATCATGATGATGATGATGGCAATGATGATGATGATGATGATGATGGCAGTGATGATGATGATGATGATGATGATGACAGGGATGATGATGATGATGGTGATGATGATGATGATGATGATGATGACAGGGATGATGATGATGATGATGATGGTGATGGTGATGATGATGATGAAGATGAAGATAATGATGATGATAATGATGGTGATGGTGATGATGATCATGATGATCATGATGATCATGATGATGATGATGATGATGGCAGTGATGATGATGATGATGGTGATGATGATGATGATCATGATGATGATCATGATGGTGATGATGGCAGTGATGATGATGGCAGTGATGATGATGATGATGATGATGATGATGATGATGATGATGATGATGATGATGATGATGATGATGATGGATGATTGATGATGATGATGATGATGATGATGATGATGATGATGATGATGATGATGATGATGATGATGATGATGATGATGATGAGATGATTTGATGACCCCGCGAACCCGCCAAAACCCGCCAACCCAGCCAACCCGCCAACCCCGCGAACCCCGCCGCCCCCGCCAACCCGCCGACCCCGCCAACCCGCGCGCAACCCGCGAACCGCCCAACCCCACCAAACCCCGCCCACAAACCCCGCCAACCCGCGAACCCCGCGGAAACCCCGCCAACCCCGCCCGACCCGCCAACCCGCGAACCCGCCAACCCCCGAACCCCGCCAACCCCGCCGACCCCGCCGACCCCGCCAACCCCGCCAACCCCGCCAACCCCGCCAACCCCGCGAACCCCGCGAACCCCGCGTGCTTCTCTGCATACGTATGCATGCGTATGAATGCATGCCTGTATGGGTTTTTCTATGTCTGTATCTATGAATGTATGCATTTATATAGTTAGTATGTAATTATGTATGGTTGTGTATGTTATGTTTTGTTTTGTTATGTAATCTAACGTGACGAAAAGTAAGGTAATGTAATCTTATGTATGTATGTCTATACATACACATGTATTTTAATCCATGTATGATAAGTTTATAAATATAATACTTAGACTTATGCATGCATGTTTCATTAATAGACTGCTCTATTTCTTCACAAGCGCAGCCGTCACATAGAACGGAACAGTCCAAGCCACGGGGGGGCCCCCCTTATAATTGATATCCAATACATAACCGCGAGAATTCCATGAATTCCACGGGCTGGCCCCCCAATACCCCCTAAGCTTGTGCTGAAGCACGGAGAACTCAGGTAGGTGACGCTACCTTTCGTGACATATCTAAGGTATTCCAAGGTCATGTATTTACAATGTGTCTAATTCTTATTTAGTTAACTATTCATGTATATATATATATATTCATGGTTAGTATTATATAATCAATACCATCGAAGTCATCCAAAAATTTCGGGAATGGAGCTGAGGACATTCCCTGGGTCGTACAAGGACCTCAATCCTCGTTCTCTCCCTGACCACTTTTCTGGATTTGGGGGGCTTCCATCTTAATGAGATAGTTCCACAAAGCATCTCAGAGGTGAACCCAAGCCCAGCATGGATGATGGCACCCCTTAGGGCCCTGGCATTTCCATAGCTGATGTCATCTGGAAGGATCCCCAAGCAAAGCATGTGCTGCCTCGACACATCGCCAAAGAACTCAGACTCGGCCAAGCCGGCCAAACTTCAATGCTCCCAAGGCACAGGCGCTGGACCATACGCTGCCAGTTGCCACCTGTGGCTTCCTGCCATGACCGAATGTGGAACTGTCAATGAGTTCCTTGAGGAAAACATGGAAAAATTGGGAAATCATATCCCATGATCAAAACACTGTCCCCGGCCCGCGACATGAAGCCGCTATGCAACATCACGTCTGCTTCCACGGTGGCACTCCCAAGTCGTCTCCAGAGCTGTACCTGCATGAGTTCAGTGAAGTTATATAAGTTATAAGCCCGGCCCCACTTGGAGCCGCCAAGCAACAATAGACATGAAATCAATACATCAATGATCAACAAAGGCGGCACCCCGCACTTCCAGCGCTTGGCTGCAGAAACGGAAGTCAGAGCAGTGTCAAAGCTGATGACATCCTCAGAAGGCGCTTCCCGCTGCCAAGTTTGGGTGCCAACAGTAGCTGTGGGACGAGCTGCTGGTTGTATATTCGTGGTCGTCATCTCCTCCAATGACGCTAGGACCAACCACCAGGCGGTTTCTGGCCTCGTCAGGCAGTTGATTGCTGAACCTCTAGACATCCGCGTCAGCCTGAAGCCGAGGAGCTTCACCGCTGCGTTGAAACTGATGCACTCCCGGCGGAGCTGCCTCCACGGAAACTGGCCACCAGCTGACATCAGCTGACGATTGATGCTGATCATTGCTGATCATTGCTGATCATTGCTGATCATTGCTGATCATTGCTGATCATTGCTGATCATTGCTGATCATTGCTGATCTGCTGATCCAATCTGATCCAAAGCTGGGCCTCCCCAAGGTGTGGAGCAGCGCAAAGGCCTGGCTCCAGGGAGATGAACTCATGGCCTCATTGGTCATGCATCACGCATCACGCGCTTGCAGCACCGCACACTTTATAATGATAAAAGTTGCTGATAGTCACGGTACTTAGTCTATCTTAGTCTCGAAAAGCTGCAGATAATTTTGGCTCAACTGCTATCACCCAGGGAGGTTGTCAAGCCAAGTCTGCCTAAACGGACCTAAACTTCTGGCAAATTGGCCACCTACAACGGGTCAGATTTCCAAGCCCATTTCTTCGGTTGGTCGAGGCACTGCATTGACTGCGGAAATGCCGGCTGTCAACCCCGCTGTGGCAGCTGCACCTCAATGCTGACGGTCTCTTGACATCTCGTGACGTTTTTGATCGAACCTGCACAAGGAAAAAAAATGTGCAAACATGTGCTGTCATGTTCTGTTGACAGGTCATCCTTCTCCCAAAAATTGACAAAATCGGTTGTGGCACTCAAAGCGGCAGCGCCCCAGAACCAGCTGCCATACGTAGCACAAGCACTGACCGCTGCACCCACAGTGACCTTGCGCGTCAATGGTGACCCTGGAACATCCAGGCAATAGCCAAAAGACAAACCTTGATGCATCAGTGCCGGATGGCTGGTTGGTTGGTTCAACCCATTCCAAAGACATTCGTCCAGTGGGGCCATGATCTCATGACTCAGGTAGGATAGAAAGAAATATATGCATATGCATATGCATATGCACATGTATATGTATGTGTATGTATGTGTATGTATGTGTATACACACACACACACACGCACACACACATATATATATATAAATAGGTGTGTCTGTGTGTAAATCTTATGAAATATGTACATCTAACCACCAGACAAATGTCATATGGACGAAACTGGATGAAATTCCCAGGTCCACATTCAAAGTGACCAAAGTCCAACCACTCAGCCTGGTCCAACTCGATATGTGCAGCTGCCCCTCGGCTCAAGACTTGAAGTGCTCGAAAAGGGCTGCTCTTGCTGGCAGCCTGGAGGAATCTGTTCCACATATGGTGAAAAAATGTAATGTCTCCAACAATTCTTGGTGAAGCAACCTATCACCAGAGGCTTGTCTCAACAGATGCTAATCATCAGTATCCCCATTCAAATTGCCACGTTGGGACGTACTTGAATCATGGTGTATCCCATTTTCAGACACACCATGACACACCTGAAAATCACGGACCTGCAAACCGGCAGTGATGCTGATGGCATCCGGCTGCACGAAGTTGCTCCATTCCTCCAGCACTGCCATGGCCAGAAGCCACTGGCACGCGCGATCGCAAGACATCATGGCCACGTTGATGCTGACCTCACCATGCCGCACTCAGGAAGACTTAGAAAGACTTCTGACACTTCTGACAGTTCTGACATTGCAAATATGTATATAATGTTTCATATTTTGCTGGTGCTGCTGCAATGCTGCTGGTACCTCCCAGAGCTCTGCATTGGCAGCACATTCAAACTCATACATCTCATCGTTGTGTCTCGGATGCCTCTCTAGTCTAACTGTCAATGCAGCAAAGACACTGTGTCAGGAACTGCAGTTGGAAGCGCCAGCACTGCAAGCGTTGCCCTGCGGCAATTACAGCAGCTGTTGCGCTGGTGCCACAAGAATGGGGCTATCAGGGGCAACCAACGCGGCATCTCAATTAGTTATTTCTAATAACATGACAAGATTAACAAGAAGATACAAGAAGCACTGGGTTACATTAGGTTTTGCATATGTTTTAATGAAAATTAATAACACAACATTCAAATGGTTTATATAAATATCCTCGGAACATTCCGAACACCAAGGATCTCCTCCAAGAACTTTTGCTGCAGGCGGCCACCACTGCATTGAAACCTGTGCTGGTCCTGGTCCTACTGCATATATCTGCACATGAGCAATATGCTATCCCTGGGAAAATTTGCTGAAAGCATCTGAAAGCCAGTTCCTACAACACTTCCAAGATTCCAGGTGGCTTCATGACTTGTAAGCTGTGGACATCAGGGTCTGCAACGTGACCAAACTACTAAGCGGATCAGATGCTGAAGCGCAAGCAAAGGTACAGTAGCCGTCAGCCGACACCGGCATCTCTCGCAAGCGAGAAATTGAAAATTCCCATTTCCCTTTCTTGGCACCTCACCATCAAAAGCAATTTCGAGTTGATTGATAAGACACGGATGTAACATCATTCAACTGTGATTCAACTCTGATTCAACATGATTCAAATTCCACTGTGATTTAACTCTGTGTCACCCCATCCCGTGGTGACTTTGGTGACTTTGCCGAGGGTCACTCCGCCAGCTGCTTCCGATGCTCCTGAGGTGTTGCGGCGCTTCGGCCCATGGCATCGGGCCCCGGATCCAGAAGCCATGGCACTGCCGGGAGCAAAACTGCCCGGAAGCTGCAGCGAAACGGCAGTGAGGACGGTCTCCCAGTCGTCGCCAGGATCGAAAGTGAACTCCACTGAATAATTGGTCGTCATGAGACCGGCTTGGAATATGTGTAATAACCTGAAATCCAAATGATGAACGTAGTCATAGAACATCTTCGAACATCTTCGGATATCTACTTGTCTGAGCCTTGGCTTCGGAACTAAACAGCCATGCAGAAAGCAAAGCTAGAAAAGCTTTGCCTCATCTGTTTAACCCATTATAACCCATTGCTGTGTTTCCTCTACCTGGCTACCTTCGTGATACCGGAACTGCAGCATGGAGGGACAACCTCCTCTTCTGGTGAGGTTTCGCAAGCAGTCCGTGGTCCTAACAGTTTCAAAAATCGATCATGGAATATCATGGATAGTCAGGTGCCAAATTCGACAATCCAAAGAGCACTCCGAAATGAGATATTCATAATTTATTCATAGATATTCCGAAATTTGGCCCCAAGTATGGGGAAAAAAACTCTAAGAAACGCTTCACCTGCCGAGTTTCCAGAGCTTTTCCCCACCGTGACAGGGCGACTCCCGACTTTGGAACGCAAGGATGGCATTCTCCACCTCAACGCGAAAAACCGGTTGCTAACCGGCTATGCTATTTGAGCATCGTGAATCACTTCTGGGTGTACCTCTGCACAGTTCATCTGGCGGATGATCATCATCTCCTGCAAGGAAGAAAAATCATCAGCTCCCTTTGGGTTTTCGCCAACTGGGTTCAACTGGTTTTAGAAGGCACCTGCAGGGTCATCTCGGGGACCGTGCATTGTTCTCGCCACCTGAATTAGGGCACTAGGATCTGCAAATCGTGAAACAAAGCAATGCAATTCTGAGATGATTTGGTGACCTTGGTTCCACAGGCAAAGCTGCCAGGGATGGGAACGCCTCGGAAAACTGCAGAGAGATAGGTGCAAACTGGACCGAAACATCTTGAAGTCTTAAAGGAACTGAAGCTGAGATCATTGTTGGTTTCCCCTTTCCCCTTTCCTGATTCTAACGCACATGACCACCTATAATCCAACAGATACCCACATACATCATTGTATTAAATTATATATATATACATATATGTGTATATAGAGATGTTGTGTATATATAAGTTGTGTATGTATAAATATAATATACATATGTATACATTTTATATCATATATATATATATGGTATATGTACGTGTGTGTATGTCACTAAGTAGAAAGCGTTTCACAGCTGAGGCCTTGACGGACAAGATCAGGACCAATCGAATTCCAGCCTGCATCGATTCCGGGCGTCGCCGTGAGCTGTGCTATGCGCGGCTGGCTGTGCCTTTGGAGGAGGCTGGTTCTTCATGGTTCCTGGCGAAGCCGCATGAAGCCAGAGACTGGGGCCACAACAGTCCACAACATCCCACAACATCCCCACCTCAACCAATGAAGGCCATTTTCATAATCCCTTGAGCTTGAACCAATGGCGAGTCAGGCTGCCATGATCTGCCACGCGCAAAAATGATACTCGGAAAGGCTGTTCAGATGGTGTCGGTGGATGTCAGCGGGTCCTGCCCTCATGCCAAGCTATCCAAGCTGAACAGATTCAACTGGAAAGATCCAGGTGATGCAACATGATGCACGATGATGCCCAACATGGTGCCCAACATGATGCCCAACATAATGCAACCCCTTCCTCATTTTCCTGGTCACAATCTGCAAGAAGCGGTCACAATTCTTCGATCGCGCCCTGGCAGAGATGGCTTGGCGGCGGGCCTAGTGCCGTCTGCGAGATGTGGAACTCACCCCGCGTTGCCGAGTCGCGAGGTCTCGGGCGGCATCGGCCTCACTAAGGCTTGGGGTGCGACAGCGGACGGCCGGTGCCACAGCATGGCACTGTGGCACGCTGGCTTTCTATGTACAATCGCCAGTGGCAAGGACGAAGCTTGGAACCAGAGTAGATGGCCCAACTAGCCAAGCCAAGCTGGCGATGTAACTGGGATCCCCTAGGATGATAATTATTGAACCTTGATGAACATTGATCAAATGCCTTTCCTTCTGTCCTTCACGGATGCACTAAGCTGCTAGACGAAAAATGGCAGCTCGAAGCCCAAAAATCTGCACCGAAGCCCAGCTTTGCCAAGATCAGTTGCAAAGCTGCCTTGGCGACTGGCATCCTGAGTCCAGGCTCCTTCCGGTTCCACAAAGGCTGGAATCCGAACAGGACGATCAAGGCAAGCAAACACCTTCATTTGATTTCCAAATGCTCACTTTGCATGATGATATCATGAGAAATGCGTAATCTTCCATGGATCATACACCTAAATGATATATTAAGATTTTTTGAGCTGTATCGGATATGAATGGATATGAAAAGTATGTTGCCAAACACCTATAGAAATGACACATTTCGAGTGAACTAACCATATCTAACAATTGCATATGGCCAAAAATGACCAAATTTCTGGACTTCTCAGGGCGATTCTCAGGGCTTCCAAAACCCTTTAGGCCTGGCAGGCCTGGCACCGAATTCGCACCGATGGCCCATCAGCTTACCACCACCTGGGCGTCACATGTATGCGTGACGGTCGTGGAAGGATGAATTAGGTGCGCACTTAACATGCTTAATTAACTTAACTGCTACTTAAGTGTCCTAAACTTGTTTCATGAAGTTCAAAGGCTTGAAGGGGCAAATAAGAAGGACATAGGTTTCGACGCTAACATCCTTTGATACCTGGTGCAACGTGTCCGGAAATGTCTCCCACAGGTAGCTGCCCTTTTCTCAAAGACCTCAAATGCCGTAAGATTCACGACATGTCACGACTTCTCGATACTGTTCGTATCTTCTCGTCCAAGGGGCCAAATCATCTGCCTCCAAGAGGTCGTCGAAGGCGGCATTATAGGTGGGTTGCCTACGATGTGATCGGGGTGGCGAAAAACCTCAAAATAGCCTGAGGAGTTGCAAAATGTATCAAAATGTTGCAAACGTCCGTTTTGTGAGTATTGAGAATGAGCCTTATGACATCCAAATGGATCCATGACTCTCCTGCCTTTCAAGCACTTCGAAGAGCTGTTCTCCTGGTCCTGGCAGCTCCGGCGCCAGCTCCGTTCAACTCACATTGGTCGATCATTGGTCATTACCCGTCACTACCCGTCACTACCCTGGCCTTCACACAAGCGATCGCAGAGCGAGAGGAACCTGGTCAAATCTGGTGAAATTCACACAAGCAACACTTGCGGAGAATGGAAATTGGTGATGGCTAAAGCGGCTCTTGTAGGCAACAACATGTCAAAACAAAGGAGACACATCATTGCATTCTATCTCCCCACTTTTAGTTTTGTTTATAAATGTTTAATGTTCGTACAGAAATGTATATCTTATGTACTCTTGAAAAGAGAGGAGTCGCCAGACTCATCACTTTTTGAAAAACGTCCGCGCGTCTTGCTACTTTGAGCGCTGTTCCGGCTGCGTTCCGCATTAGTGCTCGAACTTCTCCCGGGATTTCGTCAAAAAGGTCCCTGGTGGTGCGCTACCTCAGCAGGGTCTCCCTGTCCAAAGCAAGCAGCTGAGCCTTGGCTGGGAACCGCCCTGAGATTGCGGCGAGATAATCAAAGACACAAAGGTCTTGCAACCGCTTCTTGTGAGCGGCTACGAACTCCTCATGCAGCGGGTGCACCAAGTACTTATCGCGGGCAGCCTGACAAGAGAATGCAACAAACTTCCAGCTTCCAGACTGAGCCATGGCATGGACACATTAATCACCATGACTGCCATGACTCAGTACATCTCAGTACTCCTGAGATCTCCTGAGCACCTCATCCGGGAAAGTGAGGAAGAACGCATGGCTCAAACCTTTGTCCAGGTTCTCATGGGAACACTGCGTCCTGCGGCACGAGCCACAGAATGCCACAGAATGCCACAGAATGCCACAGAATGCCACAGATCCATCCGGCTTCGCCAGCTTCACTCCTGCTACCTGTGCCACAAGGGTACAAACCCGGTCCCGCGTTCATAGCTCAACAACAGGTGGGAGAGCGCACGCGCCATCTGGTCGAAGGCTGGTATGATCTGCTTGGCGTCCGCATCCTCCACCTTGAAGAGGACTACCTGATAGCAGGGCTATAGATCTAGGGAATCTGAATCGATCTATACCACATGGCTATATATGGCTATATATGGCTATACCTACCATGAGTCAAGGCAAAGTGGCAGACCATCAGACCAACCCCTTTGTCAGAGCCAATTTGAATCGGTGATGGAAATCTCAAGAGTCCATGTGATCCGAGCGGTATGTCGAACCGCACTTGCAGGGAGTTTGGGCGAGTTCCTCCTGCCAAGTGGCTGAAGGACGATTGCTAGCAGTTCGTTGCAAAAAAGGACCCTACTAACCAAAGGTTAATACATGAAATCCAGCAAATATGTGTCAATGTCATCCTACAAAGAGACTTGCTATGACTTGTCAGTGGAACAAAAAATGCTCCAGTGACTATCGAGACGCCTAAACCAGCTGAAATTGAAGTGTCAATACCAGTCAATATCATCAAATCTCATGAAGTTGAAGACATTTCACGCTCACCATCAAAGACCATGGTCACTATAGTCCTCAGCCTGACCCAAAATGCCAAAGCTCCAACTGCAGCCGCCACAAAATGCCTTGGGCCATATCTGCAAGACTATCTGTAACATTACTGGAATTATCTGGTCTTGATCAGTTTGCACCTGAGGCTATGACCAGCGATCTGCATTGGAAAACATGATGGCACTGGTGGAAGTGGCTTCCGGAGCTAACAGAAACAAGTAGCAATATTGGATATACACCATCTTACTAGCGCTGTAGCATTTCTGACATGATCTTGTCATATTTTCATGTGCCGCACTCTCCATAGCTCTGGATTGTAGTTAAGGGTACTTGACACCCAGTTTTGAGGCAGAAAAGCTGCAAATGTGAGATTTCTGAGCTCGGTCTCTGAACCGTGCACTGGGTGAGCGGCTCGCTCTTGGATTGGACCAGGAAAGCAACACCTCCGCCAGGGACGTCATGGATGCCCCCAAAAGTTGTGGCATGTGATTCAAACCACGCAGTGTCACAAAGTCAAGCAGGAGGCGACGATTGTGGATGACTTCCACAATCTAATCTTCTGGAATTATGTGTTGCCCCCGATTCAAAATGGTTTGAACGCGAGTGGTGCTTGCACTGCTCAATCCGTCCAGTTACGTGGATGTTGAACTGCCCTGGGCTTCGAACAAACCGACGGATTTAGACTTGACCAGGGCAACCGCAGCGGTCGTCCAGCTCGCAAACCACACCTGAAGTCACAACTAAGAACCAACGGGAATCCCACTGCCCTCTCCATCTGCACAAACAAAACACATATGCATACCGTAGAATATGCATATAATATATATATGTGTGTGTGTACATATTTATATACATTTATATGCTATTTTATCTATCTGTTTATGTAATTATTTGTTTGTTTAGTTATGTGTTTGTTTATTAATTTATTCTATCTATCTATCTATCGATCTATCTATCTATCCATCCATCCATCCATCTATCTATCTATCCATCTATCTTTTATTAAGGTATGTATGCATTTGTTTAATTATTTGTTTATCTATCTAGTTATTTATTATGCGTGTGTATGTGTGTGTATGTGTATGCATTCAAAGAACCTACATGTATATACAGAAGCCGGATCAACTAGATGTTTAGAATTGTTTGGGGGCAAATGCATATGGATGTTTACATGATGTTGAAATCTAGGGGCAATATGCATGCGCATCTTGGAATGTGCATGTTGATATTACTATTGCGCGTATATATGCATGCTAAAATGCACACTGTTCACAGCATATTTGTGTATTTCACGTGGTCAGTGGCTGAGTGGCTGAGTGTCTGAGCTTTTGGCGAGGCCACAACATCCGCATCCTTTTGCAGCGCAGGATAGGTGACGTGAGGGTCCATGAACAGGAGACTATCCTCACCGTGCGTGGCCTGGCGCTGGTCACCGGTCGTGCGACAAGCACGGTGACACCAGCTGGAACAAACTCCCGAGGCGGTGACCACAAAGAAATGGGCTGACGAGGAACTATTGCCACTTGCCAAGCCCTGGAGAAAACAAGGCGTTGGGAAGGCGTTGGATCATTGGATCATTGGATTATTGGATCATTGGATCATTGGATCCTGCAAACGAGGCAAACCATGGCAAACAATCCGCTCTCAAACTAACGACGCCATGCCTGAAATTCCGGAAGTCGAAAGCAGACATCCAGGCCTCTCAAAGTCAGCTCCAAACAGTTCTGGTTGCTACACTGTCCCTTACCCTGGCAACGCACCTTGCTGATATTCTTCGAGATTGCAACTCTCCAAGCCAAGTCGGCGGCACACCAAAATGATGACCTGAAAGTCTGAAAGCTCAACTCCATCAGAAACACAGTCTGATAGACATAGCTTCTGTGATAAATTTCCATCTGCCCATTCAACCCGAGACCGAAGAAATATCAACGCTCCAAAGGATTGCAGGACAAACAGCAGGGCAAAAAGCAAGGCTGATTGAAGCTGCGCAGTGAGAAAGCCACCGATGTGCAGCCGCCGTTGAAGCGCTCCATCCTGGCAACAGCGACTGCGGTTGTTCTGCTTGTCGTTCTGCTCGTCGTTCTTCGTCCACCCGATGGCCAACAATGCGGCTGAGGCTATGACACAGTCTCTTTGTAGATAGGTCCATCCTCACTGCAGGGTCCCACTTCGATTCAGACATGAGAAATCGTGAGAATATTCATGAATGTTCTATTAGTGACGATCCTCACGTATGATTGATTTGATTTGTTTGTCAAACCGCAGAGCAGGGGAGCTATGGGAAATCCATGGGAAATCGATGCCATTTCTGGGCTCCCGGCCACAAACACAGCACAGCCGACCTCCTGCAGGAAGTCTGGACGACCTGCACCATCCTGCGCCAATTTAACAATGACAGTGTGACAGGGGCAACAGTACAAAAATACCGGACATGTATATATGAAATGTATTGAAATGTATTGAAATTGATAGAATGGCACAAGTGTTTGGAGATGTAGTTCAGGTATGTTTCGATATGTACGTTTCTGTTCGCCAATGTTGATGCCATGATGCAATGATGCTATGATCATATCACCCAGATCGTAGAGACCTCCTTGGAGGTCTCGAAGAGATGTCCCACTGCTTGAGCCGCAGAGGTGGGACCAAACCAAGAGGAAGGCTCTTTGCCCAGGATGTGCTGCCCCATTTCCACGAGGCGATGCCTTGGTACATCTTGGTACCGAGATGTACGGATACCCATGAGACCGGCATGGTTACTGCGATAAACATGTTTTTGGCTGGAAGAATGCTGGTCAAACATTAGCTGGATGGAGCTGGAATGACCTTATGCGAAATTTCGTGACGACCAGTCCAAGGACACGGCAAGGAAAAGAGTGCCTTTGGCGTGTCAAGGAAGCAGCTGGTGATGCGCAAATAAGTAGAGCCTCAGCAGCCAAAACTGTCCCATGGAAAAAACATCGATGGCCAACGCAAGGAAAAAGCAAACAGATTGGTAAATGATTAAAACGACTTAAAACGCAGTATATGAATGAGAGTTAACTAAACGATAAACATATCCGCATATGGTTTGTCAAACCATCAAACCCCTGTTGTCGCTAAGGTCACATTTGAAGGGGACTATTCGGTTGAGCATCAGTCATTGGAACTCTCGCCTTCTTTCAGATCTTTTTCTCCAAAGCGCCACTCACGGCCTTGCAGAATCTCGCAGAATGCAATCTGAGAGGCAGTTACTTTATGCTACCTCCTCCAGCTTGCCTAGGCTGAGGGAGACGAAGCACTGGGCCAGCATCATCTGCGTTACCTGGCACACACGTGACACCTTGAACAGCTCTGATCTGAAGATGTTGGAGGTAGTGGCACCTCCACTAACTGTCTAAGATTCAGACCCGCAGCATGCACCCCCAGCCTGAAGAGGCTTTAGCCATTAAAGTCATTAAAGAAAACAGATGAACCATTATGGACCGTGGTGAACCAAACGAATTGGTCAGAGCAGTGCCTGAATCCGAGGCTGTCGTGCCACCGCCTGCCAGTTGCAAGGGAGGCCTCAGCTCCAGGTTTGTTGCAACATGTGGGACTTCGAGAAATATCCCTTGCAAGCTCCAAGATATTCGAGTATCGTCAAAGTATTTCAATCTACTAAATCTCTGCATAGTACCCAGGAGAAACATGAGAAACAATGAGAAACATCTCTCTTCAAGGACAATCACACGGTCATCTGCTCTGCACTGAGATGCAAACTCCAGGCCACAGCGGTATGTGAGGAGAATGCGAGAGCGGAAGTCCTGGACATTGCCAGGGCTCCCGGGATGAGAGGTTGACACATGTTGACACACAGAAACCGCTCACGACAGCATCGCAGAATAGGAAAATCATGGGTCAATCTATGCATGTCTGTATGTGTGTATGTCTATATGCAAGGATGGATGGATAAAGTTAGATGTAGTCGGATGGACAGAATCGAATGCAGTCGGATGGAGTCGGATAGAGTGTTGGTTATTGAAATGTCTGAAAGTCAACATGCCACTCTCTGTGTATGGTGTACATTGTACACGCGGAAGTGCACTGCTGGTCATCACGTTCTCCTCCAAGAATTGCTCTCTTGCTGCATCCTCACTGCAGTCGTAGGTAATGCCCAAGCAAACCACCTGACGGTCACAGCATGTTGCCCCATGTCGAGGGACCAGGGTATAACCTGCGGACATGGCACCTTGGATGAAGGCGTGAAGGGCATCCACTTTCGAATCTCGTCTATCATACGGTGGATCCTGGGCGTCTTGAGGCTTCAGGGCTCAATTGAAACATCTTGATACATATTGATACATCTTGATACATCTTGATACATCTTGACACTCTGCAACGCTGGAATGTGAAACCACAACTGCCCTGCCCTGAACTGATTCCCCTGAGGGCCCGTCTGCTTCATGTCAAAGGGCAATAATGCTTTCATGATTTTTTTGGCCTGGGCCCCTTGAGCAGAAAGCTACGAAGAGCGCCTTTGTACCTCTGCACCAGGTTTGGCACCACCGGTGTTGGTATGGACCGATCTGCAATAAACAGCCACTCCTGTCATGGCAAAGTATTCAGCATCGTCTTTTAGATCTTTTTAGCTGGAAAACACATGTAAACACGGCAATTGTTGTTTTTTTTCACTCGCTGCCCATCTGGCCTTCTAAAGTCGGCCATGGAATGCAATGTCCGATGGAATGGAAACACACATGCGAATTTTCTGTACACTTCTGCGAATTTTCAAAAGCAATGAGCTCTGCGACATTCGAGGCCTAGGAAACTCATCTGTCGCTGTTGCCTATCTTCTGATGCCCTCCTGAGCCCACGTCAACAGATGTTTCTTCCAAAGTTTCGCTGTCGAACTCAATAAATTTGCTCCTCAAACTGACATTGAGTCCATGGGACCTGTTTGATCTGTTTGCAGTACTGAGCACTTTTTCATTTTCGAGAGATCAAATCTGAAGAAAGCCAAGGGTCTTGAATGCTTCTCTGTCTCCCTGTTGTCGAGATTTGATCTGCGCCTGGAGGCGTTCGTGCTCCTTCCTGATGTTTTGACACCTGTGCGGCCGCGTCCCTTTTGAACCTTGGAAGGAGGTCGAACCCCCGCTAGCTTACAGGCTTACAGGTGTGCAGCCTTGAGTTATATTCATGACATGTCTTTTGTATCAGCATCCATGTGCCAAATCTGGCCCCAACTAATTTCAGCACTGTGATTGAGAAAATGATCGAGCAAAACCACGCCACTCCTCTGCATCTCCTCCCCATGGGCTGCTCTGGCGTCTTGTAGATCATCCTCGACCACTGTATAGCAGCACGGGTTACCCCACAAGCAATCCCGATCAAAATCTTTGAAAATCAACACCATTGGACCATTTTTTGCATCATATTTCAACCTTCGTCCCATGCCTTCAATCGTACGTTTTCAGCTTGCAGTGTGGCAATCTTTTGAGCCATTCGTTCCTCAAAGCACACAGGAAGGGGCAAAACGTCTCCGAAGACTAATGGACCATGATGCACCCAGTTGCCTTCAGCGAGCGCAACTTCTGCAGCTCTTGTGCTTGCTGGCTCATTGCGGCCACCATGACCTGACGTCAAGGATATACATGCATAATATTATACATATATTATATATGTATGTGTATATATGTGTGTGTGCACGCAGTATACACACAGAATCACACATAATATTAATTTATATATATGTGTGTGTGTGTTTATTTATTTATTTATTTATTTAAAAAATGTAATATAGGTACCAAGTTGTTTGCGAACCCCCGCTATGTCACCATGTCAGTGCACCTTCCAAGGTCCCTCGCCATCATCTTGCACTGCAAGCCTTGACCATGGATGACCATGGTGAGAATGCTGTGATGATTACTCCCCACGACCCAGAAAGTCTTTCAAACAGTCATTTTGCAGGCTCAGTACCTAATTACTGTCGATGAAGAACTTTTCTCATGAATGCCAGCTGGAATGCAGAGCTGAGCTGTCACACCAGCAAATGAAATGAACATAAAGAAAGCTGAATGCCCGGCAAATCTGTGACAAGAAGCTGGCCAGGGTCCTGTCTTTCCTCTCTTCGGCGTTTCAAAGCTGGCTCTTCTGGGTCGGGAGCAGGAGCAGGAGCAAGATGAGCAGCCGGTTCCATGGCCTCAGCATTTGGGAGCGCAGCTGGCTCGGCCACAGCTGGCACGGCTGCGGCGGGCGCAGCTGGCATGGCTGGCGCGGCCGGGGCAGCCAAGGCTTCCGGTGCTCCTTGTACTTCTCCAACTTCTCCATCTTGAAGTGGCGGTGCTTCTGATTCTTCTGCCACTTCCTGTGACAAAGCCTCCTCAACGAGTTTGTCGATGGCTGCTCCGTGGATTCCCTTTGTCTTTGGAACGAACGGAACGTTTTCAATTCGAGCCTTCCAGCTTTCTGGCACCATATCAATCACTTTTTGGTGCTGAGTTCTGAACTCGTTTGTGCCGCCACCACCTTTCTTATTACTATTCACATCGGCCAGCGTCATGAGCTCGCGGATCCATTGTACTTGCACAGCTTCTTTCCTGAGAACATCTAGAGCCATGGAAAGTGTCCACGACAGCTGCCTCAAACACAACTATTGGTTGCATCAACGTCTTTTCAAACGCTCCTATTTTGATCTCAACATATCCCAACCATTGATCAATGATTCGAATGACTCAAATGATTGCATGGGGTGAAGCTGCCGCACACATCTGCCCAAAGCTCCGTTTCCGTACACTGCCTAGATCTGCCTAGCATCTCTTCATCACTGTAGTTCCCCCGGGAGCGCCGGTATAGTTTCTCCTTCTTCTCTTCGGGCATCTGAAACAGTGTGGGAGTCAGGACCTTTCCCAAACAAATATGAATCATGGAATCACGTCTGTTTCACAATTTTTCTATCAGCTATATATATATATAATAAATAGCTTATATGTCATCAATCTCTGTACGCTGCGGGTAGTCTTCACACTTTCACATTCCTCAAGTGATCGTGACATGTTCTTTGCATTGACATGTTCTTTGCATTGCCTGGCAGTTTTACATTGCCTGGCAGCTGAATGGGCCAAGGCTTCGGTGTCATAACATACAGCCATGCACCGGCCATGCACTCTCCAAACTTTGCATTTTTGTCCGTCCCTTTTGCTGACCCGTCAAGTCACATAGAAATCGTCAAATGATAGCACTCTTTTTTACTCGATTCGAGCGTCCAGTGCATTGTCGTTAGCTATGTCCCTGACCTCCTGCACTGCTCTCAACAGGAACACAACACGAAGCAGCTGGAGTTTACGATAGGAGTCAGGAGCTGAAGCATTGGACATTAACGCTGACATGTCATGAGATTCAGTGAAATGCCATAAGATTTCGAGACTTGTGGAAACCTTTTTCGCATCTTGTCGCAAACAGCCAACAGGGTGCCACAACAAGAACTGTGTCCTGTGCTGAACTAGCAGTTCGCATCCGACTCTTGGAACAGGCTCCTGCATAGCAAAGCCAGCGCTACACCCAGATACACGGATGTTATCGGATGTACATTGCAATGATACACAGATATACACAGTAACTACTTGAAATCTTATCCCTCAGGCGTTGCAAAGCACGTTGCTAAGCGCGTTCTCAAGCTGCTACGAAGTCTACAAAGATCCTCCTCTTGGTCTCGATGGACTTTCGCATGGTCTCAACACGTTGCTGGAGCTCTGCCTGCGGAGTTCGACACAAGGGTTCTGGAACGGCTGGCAAGACCTGCAATGTTACATGTGTGAATGCACATGCGCACTGTGATCATTTATATCAACATGTTTCAAGGAGTGTAAAGGTACGAATGCGTACGAATGCCATCAAATGCTCCAAACTTGGCGGATCGACCTGACGATGCAGGACTTCATCCACTGCCTGAAGCGGCAGTAACTTGGGAAGTGCCATGGCACACGTGCTGCACAGGTCCCCATGGTCCCCGAAGGCCTGGCGACCGCGCGCAAGTTCAGACTTCAAAACCTGGCGCCGAAGTCTGCAATTGGAATTTACTGCGATACACTGCGATCCGTAAACAGGAAATTCATGGAAATTCATGGAAATGCACATAAATGATTGTAAATGATTGTAAATGATTGTAAATGATTGTAAATGATTGTAAATGATTGTAAATGCACGAAATACACGAGTTCCATCGAGTTCCAGCCCATAAATCTGTCGATCCTGATGTCCTATACCATGCTGTGCAGGGCTGTGCTATGCTGTGCTGCCTTGTTCTCAGTCTGCAATTGCTCCAGCTCCTAACAGCCGCTGTGCTTGTCACAGAGTCTGCAAAGCTTGATGCACAACCCAACCCTCCTGTGATCGACGTCGCCATTCATGAAGTGTGGTCTGAACCTGCCAGTCGCATGGCAAAGGTTCCCACCTTCCTGGCTATTCGACCATAACTTGAGCTGGCTCAACAGACTCGATGAGCCTGATAAATATCATTACATGTCAGAACCTTTTGGGAAGCAAAAGGCTTAGTTGAGAAATAGATCTTGACGCGAAAGAGGCTTGAAAGCCTCGAAAACTACAGCTCTATAGACTGTATATGTGAATATCCCCATCACTTGCAGGGCTTCAGGCAACCTAAGTGCGATTTCTGACCTTAGTTACTTTGATCCCCATGCCACCCAGCCTTTGAAGAGAGTTGACGGCGTTCATCCTCAGCCATCTGCACCATTTGTGGCCGGCCTGATCCGCAATATGTCCACAAGTTTCTTTCTGAAAATGTGACTTTCAAAAAAAAAACGGTATATAATGGATAGTAACGGTGCTAACTAACGTTGAAACGCCAACTGTGCTAACTTCTTTGAGCTGGCTCGCAGTCAGCTGCAGTTCCATGTTTATATACATCTTTACATATCTTTACATTCCAGTGTCAGGCCTTGAACAATGGCGATGGCCCTGCGCAAGGCATCGATCAATGGCAACACCTGCGAGCCGTTCGAGCTGCAGCTGGCAACTCGGACGGCACATGGCACCGATGGCACCTCCTCTGCATCGTTGCCGTCTGGATGGCCATTGTACTGTGACAAGTAGCCAAGCACCTCGCCATGGGAAAGGTCGGGCGAAGCTGTGAGAAGGTCACACGTTGAAGTTTAGTCACTTCAGTCGTACCAAGCAGAGTCAAGTGTTGTCCACTTATTTCAATTGCACCTGGTCTATGACTTGCCACTCATCGATATCGTCACTGTGCTCGTGGCCTCAGTATGCCAGCAATGAAACCACCATGAAACCGCCTGAAACTTCCTGAAACTTTGGAAGCTTTTGGCAGCTCACAGAGTGGCATAGAGTGGCCGAAGCAATGAGGTCACCACTTCCAACTTGGGCTTTGCCAGCGTCGATTTCAGCCATGGCAGGAAGTTTTTAGACGTCAAATGACTCTCACAACACCATGGCCGACCATGGCCCATGGATGCCCATGGTCCTGCTTCAATTCGGGTGATGATCCCACTGTCAATTTCAGTGTTCCAAAGTCTGCTGCGTCTACTTGAATTCCAGCTTGAACCATCAACGAGAAGGCACCAGTCCCATCCGCAGCCCCTTGGATTTCACCCTCGTGTCGCGGATTTGTACCTCAGGTCCTACCTCCCAGGATTCAACAAGACAACTGCTTTGTCTCCGCCGCCATCGCAGTCTGTGCCTGGGTAAAATGCGTGGCCAAAACAGCCACTGTGGGAACCTTGAAAGACAAGCAGAAGTGCCTCAAAGATCTTCAAAGTCAAGTCAAGTTTGTGAATCGTCCATTGGAAATAGTGGTCACGTTGGATTCGGTTGCTTTCAAAACATAGGCGAACCAAATCGACACACTTGCCATCCTTCCTGTCCCGAACCCCATCCCCTGAGTGCAAAAAGCGACAGCAGCTGCGAATTAAGAAATGGAGTCATTAGACTTAGCAGGAAATCGTTGGGAAAGAATGCCATTGACTTGACATGAAAAGCTAAACGTTGGGATGTACTGCAACTACTTCTTCCATTTCTGAGCATGAGAAACTAATTTGCTTTGAATTTGAGTGCTGTAGTCAGCACCTTAAACAACAAGTCAAAGATTCAAAGATCATAAAGGCATCTTGATCCAAAGAGCTCAAGATTTCTCAAGTGCTCATGGAACCAGCCAGAAAAGTGGCACCGGGTGCTGGTGCCATGACATTCTGTCCGGGGCCCAGTCAGGCTCCACAACGGGTAAGCCGTCGCAGGGCTGATGAGTACCACTTCTCATCCGATGGTGCGTCCTGGGCCTGCGAAAGCATCTTGACACCTCCGGTTTAAAGAAAACAGAGATTAAAATGTCAAAATTCGGGATCTGAAATGGTTTTCTTTGACCAGATATTTACAAAGTTACAATAATATTCAACATAATTCAACATAATTCCAGTTCGGGGGCAAACTCTTCACTCTGCCTCTTTCACTTGCACGCGCTTCCGGGCGGTGAGCCGTGGTCGGCTTGCCTCTGCCTTGAGCACAGGAATGGTGACAAGGACGATGAAAATGGATGCGATGATGACGATGGTGCTGCACGTGGTGCATGTGGTGCATGTGGTGCATGTGGTGCATGTGGTGCACGGTGCAACCTGCCGAGCCCAGTGCGTCATGTGACTCCTGCTGTGGCCCTTCTTTCTGCACCTCCTCAAGCGGAAGCCTCGCAACGACTCGCAACCCAAGTTCTCACAACATCAAACTCGTCAAACTCCCAATTTCTTGCAACCACCAGGGAGTCGTTTAGTTTTGGTCAGTTTCCCACCCTAAGCAATGCCAGTTCCCCTGATCCCTTTTTCGCAGATGATTCATTATGTTTTGGTGCCTCTCCCAAGAAGCTGGTGGTGCCAGCGGCGTGGAGCCACGACTTTCCACAAATCGGACCACCTGAAGGATTTCTCCCAGCAACGTCGTTCAGTGCTGAGCTGTTGTCATCCCCACCTTGGAACTGGATCTGCAGCCTGGCGCAAAGTCATGGGAAAAAGCGGTGCAACATGGTGCAACTACCAGCCAAAGTGTCATGAATGTGTCATGTAAGCACCCTTTTCGCCTTCTTCTTGGATGGCCGAAATTTTGATGGTTTGGGTGAGCTCCTGAGCAGCGAGATATGGACATTTTTACCCTCCCCAGGCATCTGTTCAAAGCAAGGAAGGGCCAAATTGATCAACAGGATGAATCGTGCGTTGCTCCTCGCCCGGACCAACCATCCCAGACGTGGAATTCATGCTGGTCTCCATCTCAGCCGACGTCCTCAACCTGAAACAAGCAGTGAACGAGTGGTTGGTTGGAAGGTTGGGTTGGTCATTGATGCGAACCTAATCTTTGGAACTTCTCCAAAGAACTCAAATAATGGTTTCAATAAAAGGATTCTGGAATCATAGTGATGTTGTTTGCCTTGCTGGGAATGGTTTGACATAACGAGGCGCAGTGCCTCCCCAAGGCAGGCCTGGTGTTTATTGTCTCAGGCAATGCAGGGGTCTCTTCAGGACATGGAGCAGCTGGATGAAAGAGCGCCAGGACTCTCTGAAGCACCGCTTCTTGACCTTCATGGAAAAAAAGGCAATGCATTTACATCCCTTCGGGTCAGTGTAGTGGAGTGTAATGTATGGAAAAAAGATGAAACAAGTAGTAATGAATTACAGTAATGAATGCTGAATACTTAAAATGAAAGCGAAGGAAGGAAGGAAGGAAGGAAGGGAGGGAGGGAGGGAGGGAGGGAGAGAGGAGTGGAGGAGAGAGTGAAGGAGTGAGCGAAGGAGGGAGTGAAGGAGGGAGTTAAGGAGGGAGTGAAGGAGGGAATGAAGGAGTGAGTGAAGCAGGGAGTTAAGGAGGGAGTGAAGGAGGGAGTGAAAAACTTTATAATCAACACTCAACACCATATACAGTACCATCCACAGGCTGAATCCACTTCTCTCAGGCTCCAGACCCTCTGGAACCGTGGTTTGCCTTGCCGCGCTCCACTTGTCGCAACTACCTGGGCCCGCAGCCCCGCATTCATTTCATCCAAGTTGATCCAACCGGCAATGAAGCCCACCTGCCAGATGCAATGTGCGCCCACGCGCGAAACCTCAGTGCTTGCAGTGGCTACCGGATACCATGCCCTGAGTTCTCAGTTGATAGGCACGGGAGTTGCTACACTGGGCCTCTCCCGTCTAGTCGTTGCATGTCGTTGCTGGGTTTCTGTCAGTCTGAGGCCACTGACAGTCAACGTCGCTGACCTCCTTGTGCCCATTGAGAAAGAAATCGACACCTCCATTGCCTCAAACACAACGTTTGCATCATAGCAGCACAGCATAGCAGCATAGCATAGCAGTCATAACATCGAAGCACGGATTGATCAGCTCCTGGCCGTTCAGCTTGAAGGAGACGATGTCCCCAGAAGCATCTACAAATTCAACAGCTTCAGCCTTGTGCGTGACATCCCACAGGTAGCAAAAGGGTCGAACAATAGCAGCAGAAAGCTGATCAAATGTTGTGCAAGCACTGGCCTGTCCCAGATGCGTCCCAGTAATTTCGGGAACCTCTCAGAGTGACTCCGCAAAATTTTCCATTCATATCACAACATATCGCACTATTAGAACACATTGCCACATATCCGAACATGTCCCGTCATGCCTCTTGCTTTGCACCACCTGTTCACAAACTTGGCGACTCGAAAAAAAACAATGGTCGCAAGGCATCCACAGCATTCCACAGCCAATGGCAGTGAGTTGGAATGATTTGGAACGCTTTAGACACTTGGAAAATCCGCATCTCTCAGTTGCCCACTTGGAGGTGCCATTGGGTGTGCAGGTGCCCTGGATGCAAAATCTCATTCCAATTATTCACAACGAGGCTATGTGTGCCTGCGCATGTGAATACGGTAGTATACGCATACTTTACGGTATAGGCTAGGTCCATGTTACACTGAAAAAGATCTGAAAAATAAAAAGATCTGACAAAACACTTCCCCCAACGCTGAGCTCTTGATCACCCTGCTAAGGGCTTAGGGATCCAGGCGGCTCTGGAGCCGCACTAACAGTGCTGCGAGTGCTCATGCGGTGGCTTGCAGCACCTTGGCAATTAGGAAGCTCAGGATGGATGACCTGGATATTGGAAATCAACGAGGATAGCGAGGGAACATAGAGCTTTCAATTGGAAATTGGTCACAAAGCTTGGATCCTGAATCCAGTGAGGCAGCGACTGTCCTCAACGCTCACAGCGCTCACGCATGAAACGCTCGGCTCAATGCTCATCCGACCAATGCTGGGGCGGCCAATGCTTGCACGGCCAATGCTTGCACGGCCGATGCTTGCACGACTTGCGCCACTTGCACAGCTTACATCTGCATCTGCAAGCAGGTCGAACACGTGAGCAAACCGCGTTGAAGGGAAAAAACATTTCTTATGTTTCTTGGCCTACCAAATGGTGGAAAATGTTGAAGCGTTCTTGATGGGGTGCTGCAAAGTGGAAGCCAGCACAGTCCAGCATAATATCAGCATATCCAGTAGTGAACCGAAATCCCAAACTCAAACTGCCTGCTCCGGCTGGTGGTAACTCTGGAAGATTTGTCGCTGGCCCTCGGGAGCATCGGTCCATTGAGCGGTAACGCCAAGCCTGTGCAGGACACTGCCTTGCTGCTTGGAGGAAGTCTTCCGACTGTGAAATGTAACTATGAATATGAAGAATACGAACTACGGACCGCAAAATAAGCGGAACTTGACATCTCTTGACATCTCAAGTGCCTCAGCCAGTTGGCTTTCCAAATCGGCAACTCGCAACTCCCGCAACTCTGCCTGTCGCCTCAGCGGATCTCAGCTGTACAGCGGTCGGGGTCTTCCAACATGACTCGAGCTCGGCTCGGCCCGGACCTCCTGGCTGCCAGCTCGCGCATGTTGCGACTCTCAGCCTCAGCGGAAGAGAATCAAAACATAGGACAATCCATGGCGCCCAATGATGTGCCTCCATCAAATCGCGCTCACGGCCATTCATCCTGCACAAGTGCAACAAGACATCAGACATGGGATGGCAGCATGGTCAAAACATTTTGCCCTCTCCGTGTTTCAGTGTTGAGTGGTGGCAAAGTTTGTGGCCTTGCTTCTTTTTCCGACATGCGTTTCTCACGACGCAGCAACTCCTGGAAAACATTGGCCCCAATACTCACGCTCAAATAATCGTAGAACTGTGATTTTTTGCAGCGAACAATTGTCCCGTCCGCTTCATCTTCGGCAACTCTCTTTTCGCGGCTCGCCAGCCGACCTCCGCTAGTCACAACGTAAGATCTTTAAAGGACGGGCACGGTGAGTTTCCATCATGTTTTTGAATCCGATTTGGGATTTAAAAAACTCAAAGAGTGTTGTGATTGAGTTCATCCAATCATTATAAATAACGCCCCATGT